TCGATAATTTCTTTTTTGATTAGGTACATCCTCAGCCTGATATATCACCAAAATTAAAATTGCGTCACTGCATCAGTACAAAACTGCAAAATATAACCCTTGTTTGTGAGTAGTTGTCAATATTTTATATAATATGAAAAATCAAAAGAAAAGTTGATTTTAAGTTAAGGAGACACTAAAGATAAGTTAATGTTAAATTACCATACGGTTTATCTCCAGTATGCGTCCTCCGGTGTGCCGAAAGCTGATAACTTTGACTGATTTTTATATTTTATAATATGCATATATTAAATTATAGTTTATTGCTTCGTATTTAATGCGTTTAGGAACCGGGAATTTAGTAGGCGCGCAGAGTGAGCTTGCTTATTAGGTTTTAATATGGTATAGCAACAATATTAAGTTAAAAACATTATATTTAAAAATAAACCCTGCTTGAAATACACGAATATTGTCTTGTGAAATTTAAAATCATAATCACTGTCGTGATATATATACCCCTCATGAATAGTTAAACGGGGACCGGATCTAATGGATCGGATTATCTACATTGTGTAAAGTTATTGGCATATAGCAATTATTTTTGACATGCAATAATTGTAATATAATATGAAATTTCAAAATTTAAATGTGTAGTATTTTAAACATTATCATCGATAAAAGAAACAATGTAATAACCTCGAGTGATATTTTAATGGAGTTTATATATTCATCTTTTTTTTTTTTTTTAATAATTATGTCAAATTTAGGTCACCGACACTGTAGCGGTAACTTTAGTAGGTAGTATATAATTTAGCATACATCTATAATTTTTACCGTCGCCGTCAGTGTTTAGAGTACAAAAACCAATACATTCATTCAACAGCAAAACACTTTTAGAGGTAGAACGTAAATCCACTCAACGTATTTTTGCTGTTTAATGCTATATTAAAAAAAAAAAAAAGGCATTTTCTAACTCGTTCATTAGTGGTGACGAAGAGTCGATGGCAGAAACTGATGTAAGTGCAAAATTATTTTATTTTTTTGTATAATATATATTTAATATTTATATTTAAATAATACTGTATTACACTGTTTCAGTATTTTACCTGTGCCTGTGTTACCTATATGTAACTGAATACGATGTACATAATTTTACTAAATTTTCAGTAACTAAATTGTATATAATTTCAGAACGATTATAATATGGAAATTAATAACGATAAAAATCTGGAAAACAAAAAAACAGAATAAAACAAAAAAAGATGTGAAATCGAATAAAAACGTCATCAAAATAAAAGCTAAAAAATTACGTAAAAAATAAAACATTTACAGAAAAATAAAAAAAAATTACAATTTTATATTTTTTTTTAGAATCTCTTTATTAATGAAAAATACAAAAGTTGATAATGAATTTATAAATTCAATAACGGTGAAACAACCTGATGGTATAGTAAACATTAAATCACCATCTGATAACGAAAGAGTTAGTGATTACTGGATATAAATCACTATAAAAATAAAAATATTCAAAGTGTTTATGTAAAAGACATGTAATATATTATATAAATATATATTTCTTAGAATTTACTTGAATGCAACTTACAACTACTAACTGCTATAAAAAAAAAATTAAAGAAATTTATTGGTTGATGTATGCAATGGTTAAAAAGTCCTTATCTATAATATATAAATGTATGTATATATATATGATATATATTTGTAATGTAAAATACTTGTCATTTTAAAGAAATTATTTTAATAATATTATAATGAGATAAAAAAAAAAAAATGTTATTGTTGGAAAGAAGCTGAGTGCAGTGTACAAATAGCGATAACTGATTTAGCAAGGGATCAAGTGCTTGCAATTCAGTTATCAAAAATCATGCAAACAATATTTACACTGTTCATGTCCGATCCAAACAAGAAAATAACACGTAATAAAAAATCAAAATCATAGTAAATCCGTTAGTAATAGTGGTTGAAAATTAAAAAAAAAAAATTATAATTGCATACATTTTATTTTTTATTAGATACTATCGTTTCCTTTGTTCTAATACAGTTATATCAATTTAAAGCATTAAATATCTGTTATTATTTTATTATAAAATAAATTATACTCTTATACTTATTATTGTTTTTTTATTCATTTATTTTATGTGAAAAACATATATATATATATATAAACTAATCTTACATTTGTTTTAAAAAGTAATACAAAAGTAGTGTATATGGTTTAGTGTCAAGATGTGTAAAAATTAAATTGTATAAATTACAGGTTAATAGCTGATTGAAAAGAAAAATTTAAACTTATAACTCTTATACATTATAAAATCGTATCTGATAATGAGTTATAATTTTATCGTAATAATTCATACATAAAAGAAAAATCATTAGATTCTATATTACTATAACTTAAGTCATAATTCTGAATATATTTGTCTGTAAATTCATTCTGTCGACAAGAAGATGGTAACCCGTTAACTTCTGCCATAATTAATGCACATATCGTGTCAAAAGTCTTCTGGTAATATGGTGATTTTTTTTGCTTTTCGATAATATAGATATCGATACAAGCTCCAAGCTCCTTCAGCCTTTGGAAGTCAACATGTGATAAATTTAGGTAATTTTCATCAGAATTTAATATGATTGAAGACTGTCTCACATTAACGGCTTAAGGTATCAGTAATTGGTACACGCTTAGACCGGATTTGCAGATAATCAATAATTGATTTGTAATTATTTTCAGACATTAATGAAAACCATTGGTCTAGATCTAGGAACAAACTCTTTTTAGTAATTTTAAATTCCAATATTATAACAATTGAAATCTTTTTGTTAGCTAACAAACCTACTGTTACACTTTTCATTTTATATTGACGAATTTCAAATTCTAATCTTGAAACAACCGGTGAAATCATATTGTAGCGAGCTTATAATTCTTGCTGATAATTGTTCGTTCTGGTGATTATTGTTTTAAAATATTACTATGGTTATCAGAGTGTTAATTATTTACTGATTATATTTTATTTATACAACAGCGTTTTACAATAAAAAGTAGTACACAGTTTAAAAAAAAAAGTAAATACGTAACCTAATTGATAAGTGTGGAGGGGGGAAGGTGACTTATTAATTATTGTACTTACTTAAAGCTATATCGTTTGTCTCGTATTATACCTGTAACTTAAATTAAACAAACATCTGTTACTCAGATTTGAACCTTATACATTGAATTAAAACTTCGCGCGTTATCCATTAGGTCACGTATTTACAAGATATAGAATTGAATAATAACACATTAAGCTGTTTTAATAAAATTCAATAATTTATTCAATATTATACAACATTTTATTTTAATATCAGTCATACGTTTAAGCAGTTGAGCAAGTGGTATATTTAATTTATCACATTCGGACAATACATATTTGTTTTGAGGTATGGTTAACGGAAATAAATTATATGTTTTTAATCTCGATGCGAATGCGGATATGTTGGATATGGTTGATTTCGTACTAAGAAAACTAATGAAGAATAATCACTGGTAGTTTTTTTGTAAGTTCATGTTCTTTTTTTTTTTAAAATAAAAAAAAATAAATTGATAATTCTTACTTAAAAAATAAATGTATATGTGAAACAAGACAATAAAATAAAAAGCACAACTTGGTTTAACAACGGATTAATAGTTACTGAAATGTATAGCTAAATTAATTTTAGTACAATGAATAATAAAAAAAAAGTTCACTGTTGCCAAAGCGTGGATATACCTTAACCAGGCAGATAACCGGAACGCAACACACGCCTAGCCCGACGTCTGCTGGAGGCAGCAGGGCCCCAAATCAGGCTGTAGGTATAAATGCAGGGAAGGATCCCCTCAAACCACACGATGAATACGTCTCAAAACCTCAAGTGATATGCCGTTAAATCCTGTGAATTCATCCTCCTCGGAGGCAAGGATTCTCATATTTTGGGAGGGGGGTCCAGCCGTATCCATCAATCGGTCAGAGCTGAGCAGCCTGACTGACGGGTCTTCGGACGACACAAAACTTGGCGTGCCTACGGGCGATATTATGACTACACTATGGGACTTAATTAAAATTGACAACTCTGGCTACGTTTTGTCAGAAAAAGTTCGTTGGACTTAAAGGTGGTGGAGACGATGGTAGCTTAGAATTTAACACGCCTTTTACTCCATTTCATACCAAATCCCGCATTATGCGGAAAAAGCTCATCGATGACGACCCCAGCCCGACCTCTAACAGCTCCCTCCGCCTATTGAGTTAATGTCCGTAGACTTCAAGGATAATGGAAACGACATTCAGATTATTAGCCCCTCGGGAAAATCGTACTCTGGCAAGATCAAGGTAAAAAAGATAAATCGGAGGGAAGAGACACCTCAAAGAGCTGCTCCGATCAAATATACACTTGGAAAGAAACCGACCAGAACCGTAACGGAAAAAAAAAGGCAGTAGCCATACGGACACAGGTGAAAATGAACGACAAAGCTAAGAGAGCCAAGGTAACCTCTCGATTCGAGTTAGTCGGCAAGAACGACGCCTGGCTTGAAGTTAGAAAATTCATGGAGCAAAAACTAAAATGTCCCAAAATCCGGATAGTCAAAGAGAAGGGCGGGATAAAGGTTGACCGACAGACCCTAAGTACAACAAACTCAGAAATGAATTCCTCAAAGAGATTAGAAGCCACAAGGTAGCTGCCTGGAAGTGCTTCTCTGGTGATCTAAGCTCCAACCCAGGGGGCAAAGCCTTCAAGTGGGCCAAAAGAGGCAGCTCTAACCGCTCCATGCCCAGCACACAGGTCAAGCCGAACGGGTCATTGACCGCTAACTGTCGGGAAACTGCCGAGTTAATACTAGGCACGTTTGTACCCGCGGACCCGGACCAGGGCGATATGGTTTTCCATGGACCGATCGCGCTCAAGACCGATCCTGATCACCAGGCGATCAAAGCCGCCATTTGGCGAATGAGAGAACCAACAGCGCCCCCGGAGCCGACGGGATTACGGCGGATATGCTCAGAAAGGACTGGCAGGCCTTACTTGAACATATGAAGCAGCTCTTTGGCCGATGCTTGCAAGATGGAACCTTTACAGAGTGCTGGAAGACAGCCCGACTGGTGATAATAAATAATCCCAGTAAAGACGACCTAGGCAAGGTTAAGTCCTATCTACCGATTAGCCTGTTACCGATATTAGGTAAAGCCCTCGAGTTGATGGTAATCCAGGAGATTACACGAGAAACTGACCTCGACTCGCAAGCTGAACAACATAGGTTCACGGCGGGTAAGTCCACCATCAGCGCCGTCGAGAGCGTCTACACTTGGATCGATGCGTCCAAGTGTAGGAATATCTTCTTAACATTCTTAGACATCACGAGCACATTCGACCATGTTAAATGGTCGCCGCTGTTAGCGCAACTTAAATACCTGGGCGCGTCCATCAGTAGAGGGTCGTCCAATCGTACCTTGAAAAACAGATGGGCCGATTTCGAGTTGGAAGGCGTCAATTTCAAACGCAGACTGGAACGCGAATGACCGCAGGGGTCCTATGTTGTGGAAAGTCGCGATGACTCCGATATTTGAGAAAATTACGTGCTCAAAGACATTAAAGGTAGTCGCCCATGCGGATGAATTCTGCTTATGGTCGGACCGTCCAGATCGCAGACTGCCTTAGGACGCATCGAAAAACAGCCTGATCAGAAAGCCCAAAACAGTCAACCACGTGCTCAGAAACTGTCCTAATACCAGAGTAGCACGGGAAAAACTTAAGAACGTCTTAGTATCTGAAGACGTCGGATGGCCTCCAGAGGATGGAGCATTCCTGAAGTCGAATAAGACTTATGAAGCATTAGCCACCATCGCCAATTAAGTCTTGACAAACAGAACAGATCGATAGTCTAACAAAATAATGAAATAATGACGAAAAACCTTTATGAGTCAGAACGCTGTTCCGTCAGGAGACGGAGGGCCCAGTCTTGGGAGTGTTCCGATGGACACAATTGGTGCAAGTGGCAGAAACGGGGGAGCCCGGGTCGTGTTCATGCGTCTGGGACGCGGAGTTGGGCTCTGTGGTGGGAACCCTTTAAAATACTACCTCAGGATTCCCTGCTGGTCGTAGGAGGTTACTCAAAGGGAATGGTCAAGTGGAGTGGGACGCGGACACATCGAAACTTTCGGGGACTAGGTTGCATGAGGTTCTGATCATAACCTCATGAAGAGTGTGTCGATCAACTTGGTGATGCAACTGGGAGGCGTGGACAGAGGGCCCACCGAGAGCCATAGCCCAAATTCCAGGAGGACCGACGTTCGATCATCCGACCATTGATGTGCTTTACCTATCGGGAAGCGAGAATGGTGCTTCGGGGGTTTTTTTTGTGGGGGGGGGGGACGGCGTCGAGCAATTGGCGTCATGCCCTCACACGTCGGTCGTGCTTCGTGTCACGGCCGGCGAGCTGTCGACGGTGGATTGGATTCAGAGTGTCGGTAGCAGGAGCTATTATGTAGTTAAGAGACCTTATGATTGGTCAGAGAAGGCAGCCGATTGATGTGGCCGTACGAACTCGAACGGCGCTAGTCAGCCGAGCGGACCACGGAACCTCCTTAGCATTCATTCAGCTTATCGTTGGGGCTATATAAATCGAAGGTTACCCGTAAAGCAATGTGGATAGATTGCAGCCTTACCAAGGTGGCGAAAGGCACCTGTATGCCTTAGCTGGATGGTACTGGTGCATCCTCATTCTGACCTCAGCCGGGGTGTGGGAGTGTCCGGTGCTCGTTGTCCTTAGACGACGTGCGGCCGTCAGATCCCGGTGGGGTCCTCTGGCCATGCGAGTCATGCTTCGACATGCGTTGTGAGGGGGTCCATCGGTTGGTGGTCCTATGCCTCTACAGCTCTTGACTAGCACTTCGTGCTAACATAAGGTCCGTGGTTGTAACCGGAAGGCTTGCTACGAGGCTTGCCTGAAGGCGACAAACCCGGGTTTTCGTGTTGCGTGTGAGTAATACATTGATGGGAAATTACATAAATATTTTGTTTGTGTAACAAACGACATAGACACAGTTATATACAGTTCTGTGATGTATTAGTGTGTTACACAATCACATAAACTGTTATCATACTTTTTAGAAATTTGCATTACAAATTGAAATGCCCCCCTCACCTAAAACTGAAGAAATCTCCCGTTAAAAAAAGTTGCTCAGAACATACAAGATCACGCGGTTACCGTACGTGACGTACCTATGACTTTAAGTTGTGGCATGGCTAAATATGCAGGCATGTTCTGCTGAATTCTAGATTCACTATCACTGTGTATTACCCAAGCTGATGTCAAATTAAGTACTTTTTCCTTACGCGTTATTCACTTCTTTCGCCATAATATTTCACCGTCTCCTCCATATTTTCCAAGGTATGCCATCATAATATGGTCACTGTTATTCTAGGATCATTCTTGTTGCAAACAAGAGTAGCTACTGTCCCACCCGATAACACATACTAAACTCTAAAGCGAGTCCGGAAAAAATATTAGATATTAGCTCTTATTAATATCAATTATACTCTTGATATTATAGTGAGACATATTCTGTGATTTGTGGGAAGGGCTTGGGAGATAATATCTCTTATCAATATTATATCTTATAAATAAATATCAAGGGTCACATATGTCACTTCAAAGCGGTTGCACCTATTTGGCTAATTCTATTTGTTGTGTGTTCACAGTTGTCAGGACAAGGTTTGTAAGAAAGAACGTTCTATAACTTGGTAAGTATAACTTTGAAACTTTAGAGTTAGAAATTAAACACTTACGTACACTTACGTCTAGCAGGTGGATTGCCAAACTGATAATATATTGCTCACATTTCAAACGCTAGGTTCCCAGGCTATGCCGGTGTAATAGGCAAATCTTAGCCCCCGATAATTTTACCTTGGGGGGGGGGGTTAAGATATTCCTAGGATCATCTTACCCCCCGGTAAGAATATCCTAGGTTAATCTTACCTCCTGGTGTCAATTTCTCAGGAATATTACACCGGGAGAGGAGGTATGATTTGCCTAGGATATTTTTACTCCCCTGGTACAATATTCCTAGGCCTAAATTATTAAGTTTAAAAACCCTACAAAAATAATTTTTTTTTAACGTTGTAAATAATGATGAGGAAATTTACTTTTATAGATCATTACTTTTTAAGTTCCTCGCAAAACACTATACAAAATTGAAAAAAAAATTAATGCGTTCTATAAAACACTTGAATAGTACTTACGCCTTACTATAGAACTAGCGATCTATTCGAACTATATGCGCGGAACTCAAAAAGTAATCATCCATAAAAGTAAATTTCCTTATCATTGTTTTAAACGTTGAAAAACAAATCGATTAAAAAAAAATTCCTAGGCAAATCATACCCCTCTCCAGGTATAATATTCCTGGGAAATTCATACAGGGAGGTAAGATTAACCTAGGATATTCTTACCAGGGGGTAAGATTACCCTAGGATATTTTTACCTCCCCAGGTATGATGATGATAGGATAATTTTAATGGGTGTAAAAATAACCTAGGAAGATCTTACTGGGAGCAATATTATCCTAGGAAAATCTTACCTCCCCACCCGGTAAAATTAACCGTGGATACGATTTGACTGTGACCTTGGGCAGGATGGCTATAATAGAATATTGTCGAACGTGTCTACTTCGTACCATCATGTAAGTGTGCACTAAGAAAGCTTTTTCTAAAATTCTCATTTTAAAGTGGTTCACAAGTATTTTGAGATTCAATATGGCTGATGAACATTTTAAGTTTTGAACACCATTACACCGAATATTAATTAATGAATTGAATACAGTTTGAATCATAATATAGAATTGGCATTTTTAACGGGAAATGAAATGCACGGGATTAGCTAGTTTGTTATAAATATTCAAAATCAGACTGATTTAATCAGTCTATTCTTTGGGGGCGTACAATAATACACGTCTAATAGTAGTCACGGTGATGTAGGTACTATTTACTCGGTTGTCACCGTGTGTTTATTGGACAAACAAAAACAACAAACCTAAACTGAATTACCGCCGTTTACATTAACACTGTACAACTTACGCTGTTTTAATATAATACATTCATAAAATATACCGAAATAGGTAAAAAATAATCCAAGCTCGTCGAAATAAATCGACGACGGGCGAGTGCGGTGAATATAAATTGAAACCGGCACAAAAATAAACATATCTTTAATAACCATACGAAACGACATCATTGACAGAGGCACCGTCGACGGCGATATCGAAACGATAACGCTTTAAACGAGACTCACTATCACTACCATTGTTATCGTCCGTATCAATTGTATCACCTTCGTGGTATAGAGCCATCGATATCGACCGAGCCGAACGCCAGCATCATGGCCTGTTACCCTCAGGACGGAGAAGAAACGTTTCTGATGCCGCTGAAGAAGAGGAAACATCTGCCGTGTCCCGGCGATGGTCAGTCGCTGCGTGGAAAACGGTGCGAAACGGGCCCGGACAAGTGCGGCCCGCCCAAGCCCCGCAGTCGTAGCGCATGTGCGAAAGAAGTCGACGAGCAGGTGACCTGCCCCGAACCATGCTTCGAGGACTCGGTAGAGTGGCAGTCGACCAAGTGTGCGGCGGCGGGCCTGTTCCGGGCGCTGGGCCAGCACTATGACGAACCTTGGTTCCCGACCGTGGTCAACGAGTGGTCAGCGCTGTACTACCAGTGCAACCACGCAGCCGATTACTGGTGTGCCCGGGACAAGTGGCTGTGCGGTGACGAGGAGGTCCGGCTGGCAGTGTGGTCCGAGGTGCTCAGGCATCGAGAACAGCACGAAAGGCAGCTGGATCAGCTGAACCGGAACGTATTGAGTGACACCGGAAAGTGCAACCCAAACGCTGACCTGATGGACGTGCACGACGGATGCAACGCTGAGGTACAATTCGGTATCAGCGCTTGATTTAGTATTAAAATATATCTAAAGAAATTAACCGCACCCCGTTTATTCTAAAGTGTTATGGACTCTGTTTTACTCCTACTCATGATTAGGTTCTTAGGAAAATCCGAGTCAATAGGTAGATATTTAGTTGAAATGTTTTATTTTTTAAACCTATCTTCACTTTGTATCAAACACCAAAAAAAGGTTGCACTCCACTCTTTCGCGAGATTTAGATCTTGTACTGTTCAGTATTGTTATAATTTTTGTTGTTTTGTTGTTAATTGTTATTTGTCATTATTTTTATTGGCCACTTAATTGTTTAATTATTATAACGATGGAGGGATCGGCTGTTGGTTTTCTCAGTATATAAAGAATAATATAATGTAAGAACTGAGGAAGAATATTTTTCATGAGCGATTCAAGTTTTTGACACTGGTCATCGGCATTAAAATATGTGGGTTCATTGAAATGGTTAAGTTGTTAATCAATAGCAAACGTGCGTATTAACTTAACTACCTAGTTAATTTCGGGCTCTGCCACGAAACAAAGCAACGCCCATGCGCACAACTCGGCCGCCCAGTCACGGTCTTATTTTGAATAGAGTATAGACAATACGCATTCGTTGACAGTTTTTCGATTTTGTTAATTTATTTTCTAATTATGATCTATAATTATTTAATTTTTTACATAGTGTACAACTTCTCGGTAAATGTTTGTGTTTATCACTTAAAATATTGTAACTTGAAAAATAATAAAACAAAAAAAACTTTATTTAACTGGGTTAAGTTAATTTTATTTTCTAGTTAAATTTAAATGAAGTAAGTAATAGTTAATAGTAATAGTTAAATGAAACGATGAATTTATTGCTTTTACAATGATGTGTTTTTTTTTATTTTTTTTTATTTTTTATTTTTGTGTCCGTCATCACGGTTTGGGGCAGTAAAACTGCTTCGCTTTTCTTCAACAGTATCTTGTTCGATGGGAAAGTGAATCTAGTTGGTGCATACAGGAGGTCAAATTTCCAATAGTTTTTACAAGTGCCAGGAAAAACAACATAAAAACTAAGGAAAAACGGGAATTTTTACGAAAAAAATCGGTTTTCCACATCGATTTTGGTTTATGGTGTAACTCTAAAACAAATGAATGTATAAACATGACATTTTCACTAGTTGTTTATATTTGCATTTTCTATACACGATGAAATTTTCAAAATATTATGATTTGTTTTAAACTGTTTAGGATATTATGTTTATGGATATTGTGATATGATTAATGTGGAATTTAGGTATTATAGGTCAATTTTTTTTAATTCCATAGATATGTATATGTCGCATCCACTTAGTGAAATCGCTCATTTCATGAAGTGGATGTCCACTTCATGAAATGTATCCATTTAGTGAAAATGACATTTTACTACATTATATGGACAATTTGTTGACCTTTTCATGAAGTAGATGAAATTCATTTTATCCACATTCTGCAATAGTATTACTATTATACATGAGTATTTTTGGTATTGGTATTGAACGATTTGCACTAGGTAATTGTGTACAATATGATAATAATAAAATAATATAATATAGGTAACCTTAAATAATAGAGTATAAAAATTAAATTAAAAGTTTTCTTAAACTTTATTTTATATTTTTTTTTTTAAACAGGCACATCTTGATGTTTGATATTTGGTATTGGGTAATTGTACGATTTGCACTAGGTACCTAATTGGCTCTAAAATAAATATAAAAGTTGCTGGATATAATTTGTAACTTGTAAACTGTATAAACTGGTCCGTCAGTCGATCAGGTAATTTCAAGATAAGATATCAAATAATTGAATATGATTGAACAGATACATAGTAATATACAGATAATGTATGATCCTGACATCCAATTGACAATTGTGTGGTAATGGATGTTCCAAAAATCGACAAAGAGCCTACAGATCCACCAAATATTTTATGTTTAGTTGTTGAAAAAAAGAATAAACTGTTTAAGTTAGAAACTAAACATGGAATGATTAAAGGATGGTAAGGAGGAGATTGCTTAAAAAAATGTGAGAAGTTTTTAACGAGTGACGAGGTTTTGTTGGACAAAGTGCTAACTATTCGAGAGACTGTTAAAGTTACAACAGGTGGACAAGACTTTTCTTCTTGTTCATGTAAATCGAAAAGCCCATGTCAAAAATCAAGATCTATCTGTTTTTAAAGAAAAATGTTGTGCAATAGTCGTTGCCATAACTCTGAACCATGTAAAAATAAATAATATAAAATAAAAAATAAAGTTTAAGAAAACTTTTAATTTAATTTTTATACTTCATTATTTAAGGTTACCTATATTATATTATTTAATTATTATCATATTATCCACAATTACCTAGTGCAAATCGTACAATTACCCAATACCAAAAATACTCGTATATAATAGTAATATTACAGAATGTGGATAAAATGAATTTCATCCACTTCATGAAAAGGTCAATAAATTGTCCATATAGTGTAGTAAAACGTTATTTTCACTAACTGGATACACAGGGCCGGCGCTACCAAACATTTATAGGGGGGTGGAATTAAAAATTTGCCGACTCGAAGTATACAATTTGCCGACCCCCAAATGCAAAAAATGGCGTCTTTTTCAAAAACTTATAAAATAACAATAAATAAAAACAACTATAAATTATATCATTAAACATTATATTTTCAATATATTTTTTCATAATAACATTTACAATTTTTGATTAGTTTCTTATACTTCTATTCTACGATGTTTCAAATGGGACCACTTCTTCACGAGCACCATGGTATCAATTGTATCTAAAATATCCTTATTAGTATTAAGTAACATTAAATTTTGAAGACGGTCAGCATTCATGGTAGATCGTAAAAAGTTTTTTATTAGTTTTAGTTTACTGAACGCTCGTTCATTGGAGGCTGTACTTACAGGGGCTGTAAACATTAATCTTAATATCTTGTTCATATTAGGCAAAATATTTTTATACATTTCTGATACATTTAAGATATCCAAAACATTTTTAGCGTCCTTGCAACGGTGAGCCAGCACAAGATATTCAGAATAAACTGCATCAAAATCCTTAATATTGGATACAGAACATCTTGGAGGGAATAAATTTATTATCTTTTCAAAGTCTTCTGCTGAATGTTTATTACTCAAAGGCACTTTTAAAAGATTAAATAATGGTTCAACAGTAGCAATGCATTTTTTTAAGTGTTCGGAAGTTAATGTTGTCAGAGTATCTAAAACTTTTTTAAATTCAGATCTGTAGAAAGTTTTTAAATCAAATATTGCCTGTGAACTTGGATTAGAATCTAATCTTTTTGGCAATAGTCTTCTCCTGTGTATTTTGTTGAAATCAGATTCAGGATTAATGTTTAATTGATGTGCATAATTAATAGAACTATCAATCAAATTATCCATGCCTATCGAATCATTGTTAATATCATTGAAAATGTCAGTAGAACTATTTAATAGCATTAGAGCATCAATTATGTTGAGATCTTTGGCTTCAAAACTTTCAGTTAAAATTTTCATTTTATACATCACGTTTTTCATAAAATATAGTGATACTACAAAGTCAAATGTGAGTATTTTTTTGGCGATTCCTAAAGCTTGAGATCTTGTGTTTTTGTCAAAGTACTGGGCTGTAGACATTTCTTCTAGTGTTTTTACAATTGAGTCAAATGAAACCCATACAGCTGTTATTGACTCTGCTCGGGCTGTCCACCTTGTTTTCGATAAATTACGTAACTGTAAAGAATTTTCAATTTCAGACAGACTTTTTTGCAAATGAGCATATCTTTTTGTACTTGAAGAAAAGAAAACATACATATGTTCGAGTACCAAAAATAAATCTCCAACTATAACACTTGCATTGCAGCTGTGTTCAAGAAAAGTATTTATTCTGTGGGCTTGACAGGGTATAAACAAAACAGTGTGACCTAGTAGTTCTGACAATTTTTGTTGTGTGCCATTTATTTTGCCAGACATACTGCTGGCAAAGTCATATGATTGAAAAAACAACATTTTTTGGGGGCAATTCATTGTTAATTATGCCACTTTCAATTGTTTCTGCGATACCTAATCCAGTTTTGTCTGATGCTTCAATTATTTCCAGGAGCCTTTCTGATATTTCCCCAGCCGCATTCACATACCTAACACAGACTGATAGCTGATCTCGATGTGAAATATCAGGTGTGGTGTCTGCCATCACCGAATATATATCTGCTTCTTTTACTTCTTGAATAATTTTTTTTTTTACTTCATTACTTAATAAGTCGATAAACTCATTTTGTGAATCATGACTCATATAAGTGACATTATGTTTTCTAAATGCTTTATCATCAAGCCACTTTTTTAATACAGCATTATGTTTAGATAATAAAAGCACAATTTGATTAAAATTACCATTTTCTTCACTTCCATCACCCCTAAATGCAAGACCTTGTCTTGAAAGCATACGAGTAATATCAAATAGTATGTTTAGCACTTCTTGATTAAATTTGTTTTGGTGCTCATCATTAATTGCTTGTTCTTAAACTTCTTGTCTTAAACCTAGACTGACATACCGTCTCCGTTCAGAATCGCTTTTTTATACAAAGATTATATCATTGAATTCAAATTTAATACCATCCATTATATAGTGACAAACTTGTAACCTACTGTACAGCAGAGCACTTTTTTTTTGTTAACTTTTAACTTTTAACTGATAGCAATTTTATTGAACTAACTTAACATGCCACAGTTAATTATTTTCATTAAATTGCTCACCATTGATCAATAGTAAAATCCGATAAGATTGTTTTGTTTGAATTACCACCAATACGTCGTTAAATAAATTTGGTATATTATTACAAAATAATAAAATACTTGTTAATTTAATAGAATATTACAATGAATTACGATGTTTTTTGTGTGTCAAGGTTGAGGGTAAGATGGAAAAAACTTGTTTTTCTTAAATTTTAAATTCACTTCCAAGGAATTCTCGTAGAAAATCCGTTCATTATTAATTGATCTGAACTCCCTAAATTATCTATGCAACTTGATTCAAAGGTAAAAGTAATGTGAAATCTTCAAAATTAGAAGAGGTGTGAGCCTGTTGTTCTTGAACCTAAAGTAAAATTAGATATATATGATTACTTAGCTATATATTTTGATCCGTTATTAAAAAAATATTAAAATCCTTTATAGTCCCCCCGGTCATCATCATCATATTATAATAATATTAGCTATTTAATATACCTATATACCTATACTAACAGGTAACGGAATACCACGGATGCCCGAACGTGGCCAGTGATCGGTTTGACCTGCCACATAAGAATGTAGAACAGTTCTGCGAGAAGGATTTGCCATCCGATGACGAGAGGGCACGGGCGGAAGCTGAGGCTGCTGAAATAGCACTAGCAGACCCGGACGACGACCCTGACTGGGTGCAGATGCGGCGCAAGATGCGTGGTTCTTTTGCGGCGCTAAACATGGCCCAATGCGAAGTCAGTGCCGAGTTACTAGACCATATCATGATCGAGCTGTGCAAGTACTGGGCCAACGCGCCTGTCTCTGAACACTCCTGTCCCATCGATCCGCAACTGGAGTGTAACATCATGCGAGAGATACAAAACTTCCGGTTCAAACTATTTGGTGTGGCCGTTGAGATCGAACCAGAGTTACAGCAGTCAGGTCCAGATGAATTTCAAGAGCCGGAGCAGGAACCTTGCAGGAAGCCGAAATCTTTCCGGAAGCAGGAACTACGTCGGGAGCCAGAAGCTTGTTTGACGCCAGAACCTTGTCAAAGGCCTGAACGTCGACAGGAGCCGGACAAGTTTTCCCCAAATGAACCGGAATCGTGTTGCCCAAAGAAACCGGACCCTTGTTGCCCACCTGAAGAGGACCCTTGTTGCCCAAAGAAACCAGACCCTTGTTGCCCACAGGAAGAGGACCCTTGTTGCCCAAAGAAACCCGACCTTTGTTGTCCACAGGAACCTGACCCTTGTTGTCCAAAGAAACCGGACCTTTGTTGCCCACAGGAACCCGAATCTTGTTGCCCATCGGAGCCGGAACCTTTCCAGAAGCCGGAACCATGCTGCCCGCGTAAACCAGAAGTGTTCTGCCCACTAGGTCCGGAAGCATACTGTTCACAGGATCCAGTACCGTGCTGCCCACCACCTAAACCCAAACCTAGGTGCTGCGCTCCCAGAAGGTCCAGCAAAACCAAAATGGCTGAAGCCCGAGCTCGGCATAACGCCACACAAGTTCGGGATCGTGACATCACGACCGGATGGTTAGGAGGTCGACCTAATCCATAAAACAATACGTGTTTTGTTGAAATCTATGTATAATATATTATATACACAGATATACGATATATATAATATACAAATAATCCTTATCAGGTCTTTGTTTAAGCGCCAGATCGAGTTGTTTGCAAAACTTACACTCAATTAATCATTAACATCTCCCTTAGTCATATAATCTTCCAAAACATAGGTACTTTTGGATAAAAAAAAAATGAAAAAAACGTTCTTCACATGAAAATGCATAGTACTGTTGCATACCTGCATACCTTTTATTTAAGTGGGATGGTTGGCGGGGTTAATCATCAGTGAATATATACCTTAATCTATGCACAAAAATTTAATTTTTAAAGAAGTTTTAATGCTATATACTCCATTCAAATAAAGACCGTGACCAGGCGGCGACCAGTTTTCGTCGTGCGGCGGTCAGACATATGCTCAGACCGGAGTATCCGAATTGGTTCCGAAACGTCCGAATTGGTTCCCGGGTTGTTTCAAAAGGTATATCCGAATTGGTTCCCGGGTTATTTCAAAAGGTATATCCGAATTGGTCCCCGGGTTGGCTTAATAAATAATTTATAACAAATATTTTTTAAAAATTCAAATCTTAATTTAAAAATATAAAATAAATATTATAAATACAGGTATATCGTTTTTTTTATCTTAATTTAAAAATATAAAATAAATATTATAAATACAGGTATATCGTTTTTTTTTTAATTCATGCATTTTTTTTTATAATTATTATTTTCTCTTATTGAGGGAAAAACTTATAGCAAACATTTTTAAAAAATTCAAATCTACTGATTTCGTTATTTTTATATTTGTCCATTTCTGTTTTTATAAATATTTCCTTATTTTTAGACTTCAGGTTTTGTAGTTTGTTCGAACTTCGCAATTTTATATAAGTTTCAATTTGAACTTCTTTTAGTACATACATAAATTGAAATATGTTCGGATGTGCGGAATAAAAGCAACTATTGAATTTGCTGTGAAATGATTCACAGCAATTAGTCGTTCGTTCTATACTACTGGTATATTCAGCCCACATTGTTGGCGGAAATGAGCTATCTTTTTCAATATAATTTTCTAAAATATAATCGAAGAATTCATCAAGTTTTTCATTTATCGGTTTTAATGACATTAAGTCATTAATACAGCAATCGTTAACTTCTGTGGGCGATAGTAAAGATAAGCCAAAAAACAATTTTAATGTTCGTCCTATTTCAGAATCGTTATTTTTAAATTCATTTGAAAATCCTAATTGTTGTATCTTCCTCCACCATGCTTGGCCCAAGTGAAACCGACAACCTTTTAATTGAGCTAAAGGCCATACTTCAGAGATCGCTACATGGATTGCTCTTTCAAAGTCCGCATATATTTTATCCGGGTTTAAATAATTTTGAATGAAACGAAAAGCTTTTGTATACGTTTCACTAGTTTTATTTGGAAGTAAAAAAAAACTAGAGGGACATAGTAGTTATTTTTCACACCATGGATTGAAAAAAGTTGGTAAAAAAGCTTAGGACAACTTTTGAAAGTACCGTCAATAAACACAGTTTTCATTTGACGCAATACTTCCAAATTGGTATCATATGTAAATCCAATTATATTGGTTTCTGCACTGTTAATAAATAAAAACTGTTCTCCCCGATTAGTCATTAAATTATAATTATTTAATATGTTATGAGTCTCGCTCAATGTTTTGGGCAACGTTGGTATTGTACTGCACCGACTAGCGTGTATATTTTTTCTAATTCTACATAGATCTTGAGCATCTATGGTATCAATATCGGATTTAGCTAACTCGCAGCGAGTAATTTTTGCTGGTCGTTCATGTAATGCTTCTTGTGCTTTTCGTTTCGAACTGTTGCTTAGTTTTTGTCTGTTAAGTTTTTTATCAGGGCATTTTTAATGGTTATGTATAATACTTTTATCAACAATTATATTTAAATTATTTATTTTTTAAATACGACTTACATGTTCTTTGTACACATGTCCAACGGTCAATGTCGTCTGCCAATTTTTTTTGAAATCCAAACTTATAACCTTCTAATACCATAAGTTTTTATTTTTTTCACTATACATAAATTCCATATTTGCACTAATTTAACACTCTACGTAAACTCAACGGTTATTATGAAATTGCGATGTGTTACTGAATGTCGTACCGACGAACGAGTGATGACTATCTGTCCATATCGATAATATAACAACGTTTTTATCACGGATTTTATCTTAATGACTATCTGTTCATATTATGTACTTATTATGATGGGAAATATATGTTATAATAATATTAAATATTTCATTTATATTATATTGTATTTTGCTTTTTTCGTAAGTCTGTATCGGGAACCAATTCGGATGTGTGTTGCCTGTAATGTCGGGAACCAATTCGGATGTCAATTTTCAGGTATGGGAACCAATTCGGATGCAGCCAAAAGGCTTTGGTACGCGAGTGTGGTCCTGAGATGGAGTTGGTGGGTTAGCGGAATATACAAATTAAAATCAATTAAAAAATGCTGAAAAACGAAAATATTAAAAATGATTAGGTCAATGTACAGGAAATATCCTTCTACATAACAAATAATATAAAAGGTCTGTAACGTGGTGGAGGGAACGACTAGTTAAATATAACGATTAAGATATTATATTGTATAGTTATTGCGTAAAAAAGTTTCACTCAAGTTCAAACCACAATTTTTTAACCGTCATTTTTTCAAGTCAACACTATTTTTTAAATCAAAACTACTTTTTAAAAGTCAACATAATTTATTCAAGTTATACTCGTATTTTTTAAAACTCAACACTATTTTTTAAAATTCGATACAATTCTACCCATAAATGTATTGAACATCATTCTCCAATTAAACTGAGGATTGACGTCAATAACGGGGGAATGTCTACTACAATATTTACCAATTTTTAGATAAATGAAGTAATTTACTGGGGAATGACAACATTTACTACGTTTACAACATTCACATATACTGCAACATATATATCGTAAATGATAGGTACATTTATACCTGCTACCTGCAAATATTTCTACAAATATAGCCTACAACCGCCGACCTTCAGCCGCAGATAATAATAATAATAACAGCATCTTACGGTCACGATTTTTTGTTAAGAAACATTTTTTTTTGTCACGCCTGCAGTC